TATGAGTTTTGATGTCGGATTGTCATCCGGAATCCGATAGGATTTCCTCGATCTTATATAAGTTTTTATTGGCCCATGACACGGTCTAACTGGACCCGATTGTTGGACTGGTTCTCCTGGGTAGCGATTTTCCTCATTGAACTCACATCAACAAATGTGACGTCTCCATGAGGTTAAGGTGATAGCTCTGCTTTCCATTAACTAGAGAACGTGAAGCCTTGTTTTCTAGAGATCTTAAGAAAATCTCGCTATGATTATTCTAAAGAAAAGTTGTCTCAGGCAGTGAACTCGCGTGAGTCATAACACTCGATAGTTGAACTAATTAGCAGGGAAATCGAAAAGGCGCGATAGTTCCCTAGACTGAAAGGATAGGATCTGTCAAACGGTAATTATGTATTTTGTCTGTGTGTCTGTAACACGTTTTAGAAAACCACAGTGGAATCGGTTATCGGTTTATAGAGAGGGAAGGTTTTTATTACGTCAGATGAAGAAGAATCTCTCTTTCTCTCTTCATTGATCGCTTTCGTGCCTTTTTGTCTGTTTTCCTGCTAATTAGTTCGAATATCGAGTGCTATGACTCATTCGACTGCACTGCCTCTCTGTCTGTGCAGAATACGGTTTGAGACCTCAATCCATCTCTTGGTTGATCGTTGATTTCATGTCAATGAGTGGAAGGTGTATCGTCGTCCTTAGGTTGTTCCAGAGGCGTGATTACGTAGCTTCTACAGTTCAAATAAGGCTTTCGTGATTGTGACAGCAGGTTAGACAATGAGTGCTGATGTTGATCGTTTGAAACTCGAAATCTCTCGTCAATCTCGCAAACAGTGAAGGAAGCACGGGCAAGCTCGCATAGGTTTTTCGACGCATTGACATAATCCTGTCACAGAAGACAATTTGTTTTCCAGAGCTAGAACTAAACTCTGTGGAGATGTGAATGAACACACTAAAAGCGAGTGTTGTCCATCTGAAATTCAGTATGGAACAAAAGGATGTCTCTGAATTCAGTCTAGGGACGAGTGAATCGGAAGCCGACGAACGTTACTTGTGATCAATGAAGAGAGAAAGCGAGATCATTCTTCATCTGACGTAATCAAAACCTTCACTCTCGATCGACCCACAACAGATTTAACTGTGGTTTTAAAAATATGTTACAGACAGACAGCCAAAATTTACAGTTAGCGTTCGACAGAACTATTTTGACAATGATAGTTATCGCTAAGATCATCACTATTCATACGGCCTTTATCGGCCAGGATGGTTCCGCAAAGCTCACAGAAGGCGTTTAGACAGCATTGGGCATGACTCGATCAGAAGGAGTTCATTAAACCACATTTTTTGTTTTAAAATGTCGTTGATTGATAAATATCTTTTAGGCCAAAAACTGACTTTTCGGGTCTTTGAACATGGCCAAGATGTCTCGCATTATTCGACGAATATGGAAAAATAACATGATGCTCGTGATCACCACTCCTTTTTCTATCGATCTATCAGAATCATGAATAAAAAATGACAAAAATGTTTTTTCGAATACCTGAAGGGCACCGAGGGCACAAAAAATTGATAAAAACATAAAATTTAGAATACATTCGTTAAAACCTATCAGAGTCCATCGGTCTATTGAAAGAAATATTAATTTTTGCTTACGCAGAGTGAGATGCAATTTTTAATGCAGGTCTCATTATTAGGGAAAATTTGCCTTACCATGGTTATTAGAGAAACTGACTTCAATAATTTTTGATATTTATGAGTAACTAAGTAATTCGTTTGTTCCATCTTGTTCAATATGGTATCCCGGAGTAGAGCTTAACAAGTCCTAACAGTATTCATAGGTACGATCGAACAACTTCTAGATACGGTCTCTAAGTTTGTTCCAAAGAATATGGGAAGTTGTATAAAGTGAGTTATAGACCTTTCGATAACTGGTTAGAAATTGTTTTTCGGAACACATTCGATCTTCAAATGAAAAGATATGAGCTTATGAGTCAGAACTGATTTGATCTTAGATTCGACCGATTAATCGATTTAACCGGTTGATCCGTCGAGCCGGTTTTCATTTAATCGTTCACCGATCTAATCGGTTCTGGTTTAATCGATTGATCGGTTGAAGCGGGAGTCGTTTCGGACCGGGGGCACGGTGACAACAAACCGGTGACTGATCGTCACCGTTGAATCCCTATCCACTACCCTCAAGATCCAACGCACTGTGCTCCTCACCTTTCATGGATGAGTTTGTGCCTCTGATCCTCGATCTTTGAGCCTACTGATAACCAAGCAGGCAAATGCATTTTATTCCGTATGATCCTCTCCATGAGGATTATGGTGCTGGTATTTGAATTCACTGCATCACAATACTCGATTTCTATCGGACTTTCATATGTGACCTGTGACCATGCCAGAAGCACATAAGTTTATTTCATTTCATATGATTATGTACAGTTGAGGAATAACAGAGCCAATCGACAGAAGAAATGTCTTCTGGTGGATTCTTTCTTTGAGGATTGTCACGACGTTTTGTCAACAAAAGTCTGTAGGTGGCATAAAAACAAAGGTCAAATTTTTTTATTAGTCATAACTAGTCTCAAACGATATCGTGTTCTTAACTTCGTCAATCCGACTTAATTAGACTTAGTCATCCGTAACCATCCTTATCTAATCCTGGCGACCGGTAATTATTCCTAACTAATCATGAATAACTGTACATAACCTCCTCGGATCAATGGCTCGTGACTTCTCATAGGTGCTTTCAGACCTTTGGCTTGACAATACCAAGCATACATAGAGACCCGTTCTATTTCATATGATTCCCCTTACAGTTGATGAAACGACAAGTGCGGTGATTATCGAAATTTGAAGAAATGAATTTAGTAGTGCGAAAAATTAGCTTTCGCCTTATTCGTTAGAGTCGTCGACTAGGAAGCCGTTCAGTAGCCCGAACATTTTAAAATCGGAAAATCTTATAAGACACGTAGTAGAAAATATCCGCCAATTAATCACGGTTGACTCTAGCATTCTTTATTTTGTGAAAAAGTAGTTTTTCGACACGTTAAAAACTTGCTCACACACAACTTACAAAAATGGGCTGCAGTGCATCAACAAAAACAGCAGGTTCGGTCAGTTCCTCTCTTTATGGCGCAATAAGTTCGCCTGCATACCTTCACCAATGTCGGGATTCTACAAAGAACAGAGAAAAGGATGAGCAACGTGCAGAACCACAAGATCTTCTACAAAATTTTCTTCTACTTTGGCTCGATGCTAAGTTGGACGAGTCGAACCCAGACTTTCGCCATTCAATTACGCAGTTGCGGCGAACTGTCGATACTATCGAGACTTTTCGTGATAGTGCCGAGTGTCTTGAATATATTTCAAATTTCGAAGATGAGAAAGCTTTTCTCATTGTATCTGGAGATCTCACTGACAAGATCGTACCACGTATCCATGGTATTCCTCAAATTTACGCAATTTATATATTTTGTCGCAAACAATCCAAGTACGAACAATGGGCAACAAAGGAATGGTCCAAAGTAAGAGGTGTTTTTACGGAAATCGACTCGGTGTGCGCTTCTGTTCGTCAAGCAGCTCGAGAGTGTGACGATGATCCTGGGGTCATTACTGGTGAATTAGAACCCTCATTTATGTACACAATTCTTTTCAAAGAAATTGTGCTTGAAATTGACTTCGATAGAAAGATAACCGTCCCAGATCTTGCCGATTATGCTCGTAAGCAAAAGGCGTATGCTGACAAGCAAGAGCAACTCGAAATGATCGATGATTTCGTCCGAAACTATGATGTAAGCACCACTAATAATCCTATTCGATGGTACACCGCAGAATGTTTCACATACAAAATGCTCAACAAGGCATTAGGTAAACTAGATGTTGGCACTTTGTTAAAAACAGGCTTTTTTATGCGCGATTTATATGAGAATATCCAACAACTTCACCAAACACAAATCAACGACAAGTGCGTAGTATTTCCAACCAAGGTTTATCGCGGCCAAGCAATGACTCCCCAAGATTTTAAACGCAACATCAAACGAGAAAAACTTGTATCTTACAATAATTTCTTATCAACAACAGAAGAACGAGATGTTGCCGTTGGTTTTATTCGTAGAAAACTCCAATCCGATCAAGCCAAAATTGGTGTTCTTTTCGTTATGGAAATTGATCCATCATTAAAATCGGCTCCATATGCTAACATCACTGAACTCAGCTACTCTGAACACGAGAAAGAAATTCTATTCGCAACGCACACTGTGTTTCGGGTCCGACAAATGAAACAAACCCAGGAGGGAGACATGAAAATATGGCAAATACACCTTACCTTGACCAGTGCCACTGACGATCACCACTTGAGTCAACTTACACAAAGCATACGACAAGACATCACCGGAGCGGGATGGCAACAAATGGGCATTCTGCTATGCAAAATGGGTCAGAACGAAAAGGCCGAAGCAGTTTATATGCAGTTACTTGACAAGGCCTCTACTGAAGACGATAGAGCGTACTGCTATCACCAGCTCGCGCTAATTAAAAACAACCAAGGAGAATACAACAACGCCTTACAATTTTACAACCAATCACTCGAAATCTGCCAAAGAACTTTATCGAAAGATCATCCCAATTTGGCCACTTTGCACAGCAACATTGGTCAAGTGTATAGCAAAATGGGCGATTACACGAAAGCACTTGAATATTACGAGAAAGATCTTCGAATCACTCTAATAGCCCTACCTGAAAATCATCCTGATTTGGCCACTTCGTACAGCAACATTGGTCAAGTGTATAGCAACATGGGTGATTACACGAAAGCACTTGAATATTACGAGAAATCACGTCAAATCTACATAATAGCCCTACCTGAAAATCATCCTGATTTGGCCACTTCGTACAGCAACATTGGTCAAGTGTATAGCAACATGGGTGATTACACGAAAGCACTTGAATATTACGAGAAATCACGTCAC